CATGATCTGAGGTCGCACTTTGTTTATAAATATACGTGCATGACAAGGTTGTGGAGCCTAGCTGGTGTCGGCGGTGATAGGAAAAAATGGCATCGGAAAAAATTACTGGGGCGGAAAAAATGGCAACAATATGAATTGCGTAAGATACATATTACTCTCGATTTCAATTTGCTTTTGAAATATGACTTCGAATGTGTTTTTTTTTACTTCGGAATGTTTGTTACGAAGATATAAACAAACATTCGAAGTTGCTTCAAAAGCAAATTGAAATCGAGAGTAAAAATTGAAAATAATTCACTCAAAGTAGAATTGAAATTTTTTATGGCTTATTAGTTTTGTGTATAATAACTATTAATTAGGCCACATAAAAAAAATTACTTGTTTAGCGTCCACCCATTTTAATTTTTCTAGGTCGGGCGGACGGATTTTTTTTTTTTTTTCGTGAAATGCAACACAAAATTCTGCTAAATGCAGGAAATCCAGTATATTACCACAGTCAAAACTCACTTTAATTCTTTCAAAATCCGTTCATGTTTTTTAATACAGTTCATGTTTTTAATAAAACAGAAAATTACCGTTTGGCGGTCACGCGCGAACACTTTAGCTGCGAACAGGCATATTCTGGGAAGGAAACTTTGTGTAAACGTATTACATAGCTCCCAGAAGAATAAAATCACCATTTTGTCAAGTAAAACGGTCTTTTTTATAGAGTTTTTCCACTAAACCCGGACAAATTAAAAAAAAAAAAAAAAAAAAAATTGGAGGTCGGGGACTTTTATCAGGTCGGGCGGGGACGCTAAACAAGTAATATTTTTTATGTGGCCTTATATTATTACAATACACTGAAAAGTTTACTTAGTTTTAGAATATGCCCTACAATTACGTATTAAAAAGTTATTTTGAAATCTAATTGTTCCACAAGTTGAATCGTTAAAAAAGTATAAAGTATCACGCATTATCAAAACAATCTATCTTATATATATTATTATATTGTTCAAATATCAGCCATCAACTGTATAGTCGATAACGAAAACCTTATGTTCCTTCCAACTCCAGTCTCAAGAACTCTTCCAACGACCTGGAGTTCCCTCGCCATACTGGGTACATAAGTTTCTAAAAGGCGTTGTTGCAGTTGGAAGTAAATGCGCTTTGTCTTCTTCTTTGGTAGATTTCCACCGTTAATTGGTCCCAAGGAAGGATTAACCATGCTACAAG